TGCTTGGATTGCAAGCAAGCACGACAAACAAGCTAAACTGAGGTCCTCCATCCATATTTTCAGTTACAGGCCTGAGTCATTTCTACCTTCTCCTCTCTGTCAACGCTCTCTGGTTTCATTTAAAAGAGTCGATCATCAGATATTGTCCAAGATTAACCTTCAGGGTGGATATAGCTCGCTAGCAGCCTCACACCGAGGACCTATCCACGTCATCATTTACCCAGAATGCTTTGTGTGTAAATAAAATGTCTCAGTCCGTATTAAAATATATTTTCAAAAATTTACAAAACTAAACAGCCGACAGTATTTTTACAGTCTTTATTTTACAGTTAAAATATATGTTTATCAAATAGTCTAATGTTACAACTAATCGGGGATCCCTTTAAGAAAATGTGATGGAACTTTCTGTCACTCATACTGCTTATTTAGAATTTTCAAAAAGACACTTCAACCTGGATCTTGTTTTTCTAAAGCAACCATTTTAGCCAGCAAAAGTTGCAGGAATTAGAAAATAAATAGAACTACAGGGCGTGAACACCTTGTGTACTGAGATCCATTCATTCTGAAATCAGTTCTACTCTAAACAGAAACAACAAACTGATCATTGCACTCCATGTCCTTTCCACCAGTATGTGTCAGTGACGCTACAATGACCCACACAGCAACAATTGCAAACTGAACAAGACAAAACACTGAAAAATCAGGCTCAAAGCAGCCTTAATTAATGTACAACATCTCTAACTGAGGTATTAGTTACAACGTTTCTACAACTGTTGTGTGACTCACCCGGTAGAGGGATGTGCATGCCTGGTAAAGGAACCCGAAAAGGTGGCACCATGACGGGGGGGAAGGCAGGTATGGCTGCAGTGGGCTGGGCCACACTGTGAGGCAGAGCTGCAGGCAGCAGTGGCACAGTCTGAACAGCTGTGACGGGTGACGGCACCGTGGAAACAGTCACTACGGTGACTGGGGACACAGCAACAGTCGAGGTCACTGTGGCAACAGGGGCGAGGTCTGCTACAACGGTGGCTGATGGGAACAAAAAAGCTTTAAGTTTCAGCCGGTTCGGAYGTTATCAGTCCATTAAATGGACGTTATTAGTGGTTATCAGTCCCATAGAATGGCTTCAGACTGTCCCTACAGTGCCCCCTAGTGGGTTACCAGTGACATATACGTTGGAATGCAACAATCTGCTACCGCCAGAGTCCGGTCTACTTTATTTTCTCTAAAATTTACCTTAGTGGCTTTATGCCTCATATTAACCAGCTGACAGTCTGAAGCCATTCTATGGGACTGATAACGGCTAATAACGTTCATTTAATGGACGATAACATCCAAAGCGAGTGAAGTTTAGTCTAAGCGTGCATGAAAACATTGTTGATTTGAACCTGAGTTTACCTGCGATGGACACAGAGGGCGAGGGTGTGGTGGTGGAGTCGGGGCTGGAGGTGTGTGAGTGGGACAGGGTGGAGGCTGGAGCTTGAGTGGGGGAGGCTGCCCCCGCTGTGCTAGCTGTAGCGTTGCCACTGCTGGAGCTGATGGCTGCAGTCACACCCACATTTGAAGCTGAACCTGCAGCTGAAGCCCCCGCCACAAGAAGAGGGTTGAGTTCAGACTGCTGGATGACCTTCACACCCTCTGGCTTGCTCCATGAAGACTCTCTGGTCCGAGCGTTATAGTAATACGTCTGTGGGAGACAGAAAAGATGATGGAAAAGTTTGTCAACTAGTTGGATCAGCCTCAGTGTGGAAGCAAGTGTGGGCCCTGATATGAGCCAACATAAGCCTCCCATCCTACCTTTCCTTCAGATGTCTTATTCTCCACCCAGATCTCCTCTGTGGGGTTAAGAGCGGGGCTTCCAGATGAAGGAACAGGGGGCATCCCAGGGGGGAACAACATCCCAGGAGGAGGCGGCAAGTTCCCAATGGGAGGGGGGAGAAATGGAGGCCTCTGCAAATAAATAAATCGATAAATAAAAGATACAATCTGGATTAAAGAAGTCCAAAGTGTGGCCTGGTGGGGCATTTGTGGCCCCTGACTTCAGTTCAAGAAGTATACTAATTTGTTAACAAATTTGTCCCCCTGACACAGGCGTTTGATTTATTATTAGGGCAAATTTATCACAAACAAAGAAAAATCTTATAATAACAAATATTGGCAACAATATCAACTATTTGTCTTTAAATAACCAGGCTCTTAGCTTTTTTCACATTTATCTATAGTGACTTCTACTCAAAGGCTGACTCCAATCTGCTTTTAATTAATTTATTAAATTTGTCTGAATACAGGAAGCCTTTTCAATCAAGGGTGGCATAAATCCTGATTTTATTGATAAGAATTGACTAAATTGGGTTATTTTTTCCCCCCAATTGAAACCTAGAAAATTGCAAATTTTCTTTCAATAAGGGAAACCTAGAAAACWATTTATGCATCCATTTCCAGCAATAAATCTGACTACTTTATTTTGTTTAATTAAAGGATTCAATGCTTAGCTTATTGTTGAGCAAGTAAAGGAAAAATATTTTTGGCCCTCAAGTATGATTTAAGCCCATGTGACAAAATGTTTGGACACCCCTGATCTAGATGTTAGCTTTCAATTTCTAAGGAATGAAATGCAACAAATATGACTGAAGAGGCACAAAGAAAGTGCTTCATCAGATAATCAGCCGTCTAGCTTTTCAGCAGTTTTATGGAGTCTCAAATTTCAGGAGCTTCCTGCATCAGTGCTGCACCTTTCAGAGATAACCACATTTAGGAATTAATGACAATGAAAACCAGAATGACAATGTGAATGTTACCGTTATGTTGGCATACWTGAACAAACAAAAGCCAATTTGTGTTTCTTTGCAAAAAGTCAGGATGTTGACATCTCGCCAGCAGCTGCTGCCATTTTCTTCCCAAACTGCTGTGACCAGATTTTGCAAGGCTGCTCCGTGCGTTTGCTTATAATTTCCTCCTGCTTCGTTTCTACGAGTTTCAACAAAGCGTGCTGATGTCAGGTAGTTAGCTACAGCCTCGTCTTTGAGTTTTTAATTTTTGTTGATGCGTTTTGAAGAGACAATTTTTTGAAAATAGGATCAAAGTAAATCACCCGAATTTTTCTAGTGACCCCTTAAATAGATAAGCTGCCATGAAGAACATTTTTTTATCTGCCCTTGTTCCAAATTTGATAATGATTTGAAACGTCGAAGTATGKTTTTTTTTATCCGGAATAGCGCTCGTTGCAAAGTGTGTTGAAGCTCGTCTTCGTCACTTGACACATTTAACACACTGCCATTGGTTGAGGAGCTTTGTTTACAAAACAGATGTCCACGTGGTTTTTAAATTGTTTTAATTCCCTTGCTTTCTAAGACACATTAAGTTGATTTGATGCTGCAGTTTGCCTTGTAATATTATCGCATTGGCTATTATTAAGTTTTATTAAGTTTTTTAGGATACAAGATGCTTCCTACAAAAACCAGAATGTGAATCTTTTCCTAAAATTTCATGGCGATATCTTGAACATCGAGTAAGTTATGAACAAAAATAGAAAACAAGGTGAAATGGTCTCATTGGTTCTGCTGTAACTGCAGCAAGAAAACATGAGCTGATTTCACCTAAACAAACATCAATTATTTCCCTCATACTTGAGATAATCACATGATTTTGGTGTTATTTTGAATGGTTTGAAATATTCTTTTGGAATCCACTGTCAGATTTAATATTGGTGTAGGATTAAAAATTTATCCACATCCCTACAAAAAGCCAGGTGGATAACTACAAAGCTAATCAATATCCACAAAAAAAAATTTAAAACATATTTTCCATGATGTTCCCCCACATAAAATACCTTAACCATACTTTGGTTATCAAAAAAATGTAATAGGCATTAACATATTGACATGGGAGCTAAAATAAAAACCATGTGAAAGAATGCTCACATTACACTGCTGGTGTGAAGTTAGCCCTACATATTGCATACAAAGTTTTCACCTGAAGGTGAGGTGGTCCAATAGGCGGTGGCATGCCTCCTGGTGGTGGGATTGGTGGCATGTTAGGGTCAAAGGGTGGCCGAGTAAATGGGGGTCTTGGYGGAGGTCCCCTCATCATTCCAAAGGGAGGTGGCGGTGGCCTAAGTAATGGTGGAGGGCCGCGTAACACCGGAGTCTGAGCAGGTGCAGGCACAGGGGCTGGAGCAGGCGCGGGGGCAGGACTGCGGAACCGCACAGCCTGCTGCACCATTCTAATAAAACAATGTTGTACAGTTACAACCAAATAAAGTGATACTACAATGTTACAATTAAAACTAAAAAATGAATAACAAAACAAGCTTTAGAAGTTATGATTGCAAAATAAAACCTAAATGGTCCTTTGTAAGAGGTGTCTGGCAAAAGACAGTGTGAAAGGACTTATTTGATAAATAGTCTCAACTAGAGTTGAATATAAAATATAACTCTGGATACAACAGTTTTCTTCATATGCATTTAACAGTCTTTGAAGTTTACTTAATAGCAATGTTTATAAAGAGCAGCCAGCTTATTTGTGGCTTTCATGTTTAAATTAACTGCAGATCTTAGTGTACMTCACTGCTGTCATGCTACAGTATCAACCTGCATTGTGGTATGATCACTTGTGAAGCCTCGTAGCTTTAATTGATARATCTAGGGCTGCACCAATTAATCGACAACTAATCGATTATTAAAATAATCAATGACAAATTTAATAATCGATTAATCGTTTTTTTTATTCTTTACTTTGTTTTTCCACTGCCACATCTGCCTTTCTGTCCTTGACACACATGCACAGTAGTGCTAACTGGGGTAGGCCGTGGACGTCACAAGCAGGGCTGCACCGATTAGTTGAAATAATCGATGATGTCGATTATGAAAATTCGTCGACGCTGATTTTTTTATTATCGATTCGCTGTATTACATWAACACCAGGTGAATGTTCTTGCAATTCCATTTYGGTACCTAAATGCATCATTGCGACCGTATTGGCATAAGAGTGGTGAGTTTTTCATGAAAATATTACAATTACAATAATGTTACAATTACAGAAACTATTACAATATTAAAGAACTGTTCTTGTTAATTTGATGAAAAAAWTKTAAATTTCCAGTGCACTCACATCAGAATAACTTAAAGACTTGTTTGAATAATCGATTAATCGATTAGAAAATAATCGTTTGRTACAGCACTAGATAAATCTGAACAGCTTTTGTGAGGAAACTGGCCCAATCCCAGAAGCCCACCACTCGTTAAATGCTTTCAGAGACAATACAGTACTGGGAAAACTAACAAGGGTTATCTATAAAGTGCAAATTATGCAGCATATCAACTCCGCCAGATGATAGCAAATGTTTTGCTATGGAAAGAAAGCGTCATCATGTAAATCAGGATAATTTTACCATTATATTTAAATTGTTTTAACATTGGATTGTGTTGCGTCAAGTAGCAACTCCTAAAACATTTAAGTCTGCTTATGTGCACATGCTTTCGGGCATTTCATGGAAACTGTGCGTGTACACGTATTTAAAAACAAAAAAAATCTATTTGTCGCGTTAGGCTAATGGCTAACAGTAACCCATTCCATTCAAAATCCTAACTAAATGAACGAAGTTCTGTGCAGATGTTTACATATTTTGAAGCTTAGCTAGCTAGGTAATATTGTTCACAGTTGTRTAGTCTGAACATACGACAAGCGCAGAGGCCAGCCAGATCAGAAAAGAGTCTGTTTACCGCCTGCTACTAGCGGACAGCAGCAAGAGAGCTGCAACATGGGCTAGTTAGCGTCAAGCTAGTTAGCTGGCGTGGCTACATTCAGAACTAAAACTGTTATTTATCACAATATATTCATCGTAAATATCCTCAACTATCTGCATATGAAATATTGACGTGCGTTTGATAAAACAATCTGCACGTATTTATTTTTTCGTCCAATTAAAAAAAATTTCTGACCTGTTGTCGTTAAACCCAACACTTTCGTTCTCTGTCTGGTCCGCCATTACAAGGGAAATGTTAATAAGTCTCTTCCTGGAAACGCCCCCCTAAGTGTTTTTCTTTGTGTGAGTGGTTAATCTTTCATGTCAATCAACGTGCGTCCCTTGCTCCGATTGGATAATAATATTCTCGCGATTCTTTAACTAAACGTTTATTGGTCCGATTGGATTCCATTTTTTTTTTCAATGTAGCTTTGTTCATTGATGACAAATCGGAGTCTTTAATTCAAGTTGGTCGTGATGTTGGGATTTTTTGTTGCAACTTTCAACCTACTAGTGCACWGTGTTGCTATATGGCAAGAACTATTTTCTAAATAATAAATTCCTAAGAAGGTTGTTTTGATATTATGTCTGTGTTACCTTAAAAGTCTTACATATACTATAATAATYCTGTAATTTTAATAAATCTTTTCCAAGCTAGGACTTCAGTGAACTTACAAAAAGACCTAACACTGAAAAATTAAGTTTGTATTGAAAACTGTTTATTAGCTGACAAACTAAACTTAGGGTAACACATTTAGGAACACTATTGATGAGGTGAAACACAGATTTTTTTTGAAGTATTCTGCAGGATATAATGCATCTGTTGCACAGTTTGAATGAATGAATGATACTTTATTGATCCCRTGAAGGGAAATTACAGAAAATTACAGTTTCTTTGCTGACGGCAGCCAAGTTAAGCACTCTGCTGGGGAAAGTGATCCCTCACTCCTTAGTGGCTCACCCCAGGTATGTAACTGCTGACAATGWGATTCATAAAAAGGCTGTAAGAACTTTGAAACTATTAGAGTGTGTCAAAACACATTATTTAACCCCTTTTAAATATATTATGCTGCTTAAAATGAAATGGGATTCTATTTTTGTTAAAGTGCATGTTAAAACATCATTATTACTATAGTTTATTGGTAGTCAGAATGGATTAATAAGAAATTTTGTGTTCATCCCTTGAATCAAGAGCATTGAACAGTATGGGTAGGATGATGAATAGCAATAATGACCCCAATAGTGCGTAAAAGTAGGATGCTAGGCGGAAGTAACATCGGCTGAATCAAAAGTAGAACATGTGAGGGAAAAGCAGGAACTCTTGAGCTCCGCTGTTGTTTCGATGGTCCTCCAGCTCTCTGCCCTGAGGAGAGTCTTCAGCAATTTCTCTTCTTGGGGTATTTCTTTGCATTATTTGTTATATGCTACAACATTGTTCAAATAAAATGATTTTATAAATATAAAAAAATGATAAAAACCAAATGCTTAATGTTATAATTTAATTTAATGTTGAATGAAGTACAGAAAATATAGAATACAATCAAATAAAAAAAAAATCTGTACTGAAGGGAAAAAAACACGATTAAATTACATCAGCTGTAATTCTCCCATATGAACTTTACAATTAAACTAATAAAATATTAAAACTAAAAGCTATGGAATTATCCTTCTGAGAGTAACAAAATAAAGATTTGGTCATTTGGAGGACAGCGCCTCAGAAAATGACAGGAGGCTTTGATTAGCTGTTTGCACATCAAATCAAGAAAACTATACTCGTACACAACGCCACACTCACTTCTCACACAAGTATCACTCAAAATCCCCTAAAACCTATTGACCTGGTTGCAAGCTACCAAGAAATTGTCATCAAAAATGTCACTTTATGCGTTTTATTCCACGCCGGTGTGCCGTAATGTAGGGCAGGTCTGTAACACATGTAGCAAGAGTTCACAAAGTGAACTGCAAGATGAAAAATAAATGCTTGCTGCCAAAAAAATATTTTTATTTACTCAAGAGACAGTGAGAAATTTACTAAAAATTCAACTTCCCGTCACTGCGGTYAACATAAAATCTATTGTGCGGTTAGTGTTTTTCAGTCATGTTGATTTCTTTCCACCTCCATCTGCATTGTGCCCATGCAAAAAAGTTCAAGAGAGATGTGTGTGAGTTAAAAAGAACACTGAAAGGCTCAGTAATCGTTATGAAATACCTGTAAAAGTTTGCATAAATACAAAAAAAAAAGTCAAAAGTACAGTGAAGGAAATACTGACTGGCAGTTTATTCATTGACTCAAATACCAAAACAACTCAGGAAGAGCTCAGCTGTAAATGTCTTCTGTGTGGTAAAGAAACTGGTGACATTTACGGAGATTTTGTTCATGTTTTTATTTTCTTCAAGAATGACCAACTTCCTGAGCATCTAAAGTAATCTGCCTATTACAAAAGAAAAAACAGGAAAACAAGAATAAAACAGGACTCTTAGCTTAACTTTGTCCAAACACATATGGCTCAAATCAAAGTACAACAGGTCATTGTTTCAACCTCGACTGGAGTGCTTGTTATTATTAAGTGTGATATAATTTGAGAAAATGTGGCCCTCATTGATAATAACACCTCACCTCTGTCACAGGGGTATCTGAATAAAACTGTGAGGTGCACTAAAAACAAACCTGATTACCACTTTAATTAATCAAATTAACTGAACACGTCTGAAAAAGGCTTTACAGATTCACTTCTGATGTTAGGGGAAATGGCTTAAAAAWTTCTGAAATATTAAAAACAATTTCAGGCTGCAAAGCAAAATTCAGRCAGTAGTGCCTTTTTCACCGATCCAACCTACTGACTGAACTCTAGATGAAGTTACTGATAAAAACAGAATAAAAGGGGATAAATGGTGGTTATATAAAAACATGTGAAGACAAAACATGTTTCTGGGAGGGAAGTAATGACTATAGGTTATGTGTTGACACCTTCACAGCACCTCTGTTTTTCCTCTGTGTGATAACTGTATGTACCAGATTACCACAGGCTGAGGAGCAGCAGTGGGTGTTCTGCTACGTCCTGGTGGACCATCACTGGTGCCGGCTCATCAGAGAGCAGAAGCAGACAGTGAAACATGCAAAACTGTCTTCAAGTACAGCAGTCCTCCTGTAGGCACGCACACACACACACATACACATTTGCAAACGTTCATTTTCCAAAACTTCCCAAGTTAGCAAAGGCATCTTGTTTGGGCGGGACCATAGCTGGGGTGATGGAGTGAGTAAGGCCCATTCCTGGTACTCCGCCCATCATCACCGGAGCGGCCATGCCCATATTCAAGCTCATGTTCATTCCCATCATACCCTGGTTGACAGGAATCCCACCCTGTAAACCCGTGCTCATTGAAGGTGGCATACCCATGGCCAGGGAAGCGGGCATGCCCATCGTCATGGCGCCGCCCGTCATCATGGGGTTGGTGGGTGGTCTGATGGGGGTCACATGGGGCGGTGAGCTGAGGTTCAGTCCTCCGAAGTTTTGGGCCAGTAGGTTGACGGGAGGCACCCCTGTGCAGAAAAAACACGTGCAAAATTTAAYCTGCTTCTTTTGTAAAAGCTCAAAATGTGCAACAAAGAGGTCATAAAATTCATGTTTCCTACAGTTTAAGCCTAGCTAAGACTTTTTAATGGCAAGTGAAATTAAATTTAAGACCAATTTCACAATAAACACACATGGAGAAAAACCCCAGGTAGCAACAATTTTAGCCATTGTTTTGTACAAAACAACTAGCTGCGAGGGGCATTCCATAAATTATTTAAAAAGATAAATAAATGTTACCAATTCTTTGAATATTTGAGAGGAATTACAATCATCCTATTTTTAAGACTTCTGAAMGATTGATTTAAGACACTTTAAGGCTAATTAAGGCTTTATTTTTGGATTGCTAAATTCARTGCCTTTTAAGACTTTTTAAGGACCCGCGGGAACCCTGTTTTAAGACTWTTTAATGCCAAGTGAAATTAAATTTAAGACCAATTTCGTAATAAACACAAATGACAAAAAAAAAATTGGCAAAAATTCATGTATCAAAGTATTTTTGGTTGAAGTATACAAATATTGCTAATAGACCAATKGTATTTATCCATATCTAACAGCTTCCTCATCAGCTATAGCAGAAACATTCTTAGCAGTCAGTGTTAAACTTAACTTAATTTCAGGAAATCCTCTAACAACCCAAAATTTGGAGTTTTAGGACCCACAGTGGGGTCTTAACCCCAATTTGCTGTATATGAAACCTTAAAGTGCCTGWGACATYAAATTTTTGTAAGAAAAGTGAATGCATTTTTGGAAAGACAACATTATTAACATATTAGAAAACAAATTTCACATTGCTCAGATGGACAGTTGTTGAGATATTTGCACGTGAAATAACAGGAAGTGATGTCAAAGGGGAATGTCTGCATGTGAATATTAAAAAAAATAAATGTTATCAATTATTTTAATATTTGAGATTAATTACAATCATCCTATTTACAATATGTTAACATTTTAAGACTTCTGAAAGATTGATTTAAGACATTTTAAGGCTAATTAAAGTCTTATTTTTGAATTGATGAATTCAATGACTTCAAAAGAAAAAATAAGTAGGTCCTCTGGATGGGTTTGTCTCTCCTCCAAGAGACTTCTTCAGTCTGATGAGTTTCAGGTGAACTTATTTTACTTATTACTTTACTTTTTTTTTTTTTCTTTTTGATTTTTTCTACCTGGATTACTGAGAGGCATCAGGACAAATTCAATGACTTTTAAGACTTTTTAAGGATCTGCAGGAACCCTGACACTTACACAAGCTGATAAATTTACATAGGTTTAAAGTTTACTAAATGTTATTTAGACAAAGTCAAATGGAACAATTTTCAACAACAAAAACAATCAGAAAATGACAAAGTTATGGATCTGTTTACCTTGCTGCTGGATGATATTGTTGAGAGTAGGCGGGGTCTTAGTGGGGTTGAGGCCCGCTGAAAGAAAGTCCAGGCTGATGTTAACGGATGGGTCYGACCACGTTGACCCTAAAGACCCCTGACCCCCAACACCAGCTTTCTGCTGCTGTCCCATCGGCTGCTGAGACACCAGGCCCACCAAGTTCTGAAACAAATATGTTTCACATAAAACTCAAGGTGTCCCATTAGAAAAAAATATATATTGTTCATGTAAATCTACACCATTAAATTACATATCAGGTTTCAGATCGTTATTTTGATGAAATTTTTAACTAGTTTATTTTTAACAAAAATGTAATTCCTACCTGCTGAGAGTGAGAGTGAGGCATGGTAGGTATAGGACCAGCTGCTCCTGGTGTCATTCCTCCCAAAGAGAACGTCATGCTCTGAGAAGCACTGAGCGTTGCATGTGGGCTGGTCAGTTGATGGTTAACTCCACTCATCAGGTCCAGGAGCTCAGCAGATGGAGGGACAGAGGTGGATTTAGAGGCTGGTGTTGTGGGCGACTGGCTGCTGCCAAACAGGTCCCCTGCAGCCTGGGATGGACCCGAGTTAGACGGAGCTGGAGGGTTTCCTGAAAACGAGCTCCAGTCTCCAAATTCTCCATTTCCACTGGGTGTCGCGGCAGCTGAGAACAAGCCAGTAATGATTGATTAGTTGGTTTTGAGCATGATAGAAAAAAATAAATAATAGTTATTCAAACAGCTACAATACAAAATTAAGTATTTTTTAAAACAAAAAATGTATATTAAAAATGATTTTTTTTACAGGTCTGTACGCTTTAAAGTAGATATGATTTTAAATATTTCTTTTTCACATTTAAATCCTTCAGTTGGGGTCTAATAAAGTGGAATTGCAATGCTTTGGGCCCCGCCCCTTTTCTGAGGTGTGTCTCAGATCAACTCGTTTTGAAGCTGTCTCTTTAAATGCAAATGAGACGCTTCACACCCCGCCCCCCAGAGTGCTCCATTCCAGTTTGATAGAGGGGTTTATGACTATATTATCAAAGTCGGCGTGATGTCATTCAGTCATGWGATTTCAACCTCCATTTTTTTAAACTCATTGGGCCTCATGCAATAACCATTCGTACGCACAGATTTGTTCTTAAATTGTGCGTACGAGTGATTTAGGAGAATTTGTGGCATTCACCAATGTTTTCGTATTCTAAGATTTTTCATCACACTTTCCATCACACACCTGTGATGGAC